TATATTTCTCTCTCCAGAAAAAAAAATGTTGATGTCTAGAATTACAACACTTTAACAATTTATCATCAAAATATTCTTTTAGGTTCAAAAGGTGGGTTTCTTGTTCCTAAACGTAAGTAGATCTACCTACCCAGGATTTGAACCTAAATCTTCCGTTAATTAAGTGAGTAACATCTGCTGTAGCCGTTTTTTGGAACAAAGCAGGAGAATAAAACAAGAGTCGTTATCGCAGTCAGATAAGTGTTTTTACGGCGCTCACACCTGCATAAGGTCATATGAGCGCGTGGGACACACCAAACATTTGCAGTTGGTAGGAAATTTTGAATTTTTCCCGGGTGGCGGCCGAAGCCTACTCTTATAGATTTTAGACCACCAAGGAATCTTTAACGTGCACAATCAATTTGCAGACGGGACCTCGGAGATTGTTCGCCCTTTTCCGAGAAGGCTAGGTGTAGATCTTTCCTGCCAGAAGATCAGGGGTGTGGCTGAAAGACAGCAGTAAGAATGAGCTTAGTAGCAGTAGAAAGGCTGCAGGAAGAGTCAGGAGCCCAGAGGAGAGGGCAAAGGAGGTGAGGGGGTGGGGGCAGAAAGAAGAGACGAAAGCAGACGACTGAACATTGCTAGAGAGCAAAAAAAGGAGGAGAAAGGAGACAATTTTAAAGCAAAAAATGTTTCCCTCGCTACCCGGAATCGAACCCGGGACTTTTGAATGAGAAGCAAACAGCTTAACCTCTAGGCTCCGAGAGCCCCCTTTATCACAGTCAGCGAGTCGAGTGTAAAACAAAAGTGGAAGGAGCAACAGTATTAAAACCAAGCAAAAATAAAATCATAGGGAAACTATTTAATTTTGGCCTGAGCAGAAAAAATGACACCAATAAAAATATGACACTAATAATAAAATTACACTTTAAAATTTATAAAAAAAACAACAACATGTAAGTCGATAGCCTACTCATTGTTTTGTGTGTGCATGCGTGTGTGTGTGTTTGTGTGTGTGTGTGTGTGTGTGTGTGTG